CTCGCGACGACGCTGGTCTCCGCCCGGCTTTTATAACGTAGAAAATAATATTAATAATCGTAATGATAATAAAGAGATAATACTATTATAATAAGATGGCTTGATGAGAAAGACACGGCCGTTCGTTCATGTAACGAGTCGTATTTTTAGACCTCATTTTGAAATGCAACGGCAGCGGTTGAGGGACACGAGGGTGATAGGTAGGGGATATATTATGATATTACGCGAAAATGTCATGGACTAAAGCTAACCAACGGTCTTGGTTTCATACATCTATCTTGTAGAGATTGATTTCGTATAAATTCTATCTACCTCTCTTTCTCTCTTACATTCTTTGACGTTTCCGTAGGCAAGCATTCGGAGCTATCCATTCACGCTTTGCACGCTCTTTCTCTCGGTTTCTCTCTCTCTCTCTCTCTCACTTCTTGCCTTTCTTTCTGTATTATTTGCATTCTCACTCGTGAGCACAGACATTCATTCTCGCGTATAAAAATAATAATAAGATTTCCATAATAATAATATAATAATATAGTATCTATAATTATAATGATGTCTGGTTCGATTTTTTACGCGCGCACGCGTGCACGTAATTGAATAGAATCCATAAAATTAATAATATCCGTCTATATATGCTATCTGCAATAAATGTAACAAAAAATAGTACTTAGCAATAATAGAAGGCATTTTACAAGCGTATTTTGATCGTTGCTTTGATATCGGTATGTATCAATGTACATTTAACATCAAATGAGATATGTGTCGTGACCGCGATTGTTCTGCTCTAATCTAACGGTTCTAACATAATTGGCAACAGATACGTGTATATTGGTCTTATGTCTGTATATGTATGTGTATGCGGATCAACGGATATCCGTATTGTCTCTTCATGCGTGTGGGCATATACGTCATCAAATGCGCGATATAGGCTGGCAAGTGACTCGCTTTCACATCGCGGTGGCACATTAAAGTTACTTCAAATTTTACCTTACGAACTATATAACCACGGATTATTGATATCGATATTATGCTGTCTTTCATTTCACATCGTTTCATAAATTCATTATAGCTCGAGTAAAACATACTCGTCGCGTAACCAGCACTAGTTCTTATCTCGCACAGGTTTCGAATCAATATCTCGAAAGTGAAAGAACTCAAGATACACTCATATGTACAAAAATAAAATTAATAATAAATAAATACTGTTTGCAATGTGCAGATTGGTTCAAATTCGATCAAAAATTGCCAACATCGATTTGTATCCGCATTAAGTATTTTGTCGGCAGTGTTTGCTGACATAACTTGACCGCAGATTGACAGAAACCGATCGAATTCACAGATTCTACTCTATTTCTGCCGTCAGTCTATTTCAAACTGCGTAGCAAGTATGTTAAAAATCTATTTAATTTCTGCCAATAATTAGCAAAAACTTTGCTATATCTCTGCTAATATTTTATTAACAGTACTGTATATGCCAGATCTTACATCAAATCTGTAGTTTTTCTGTTGATAAAATTCGGAGTAAATACTTTGCGGAATCTATTCTCGACGGCTAGCTCGGAATGAAATATAAAATGTAATAAAAATGTTTGTATGTGGAAATATATAATCTTTTTCTACTCCAAAGCCGTAGAAAGACAGTTTCATTTATCATTCTATGCCTCGGAGATAAAAGAATACAAACATGTATGATACTTTTTCTCTTCTTAAATTTAATACAACATTCATTGCTTTAGTTTCGAGATATTGACTCGTCATCTTATTCTCCAATGTCTAGACTGGAGTTCCTATATGCGTACGTGCGTGTAAAGAGATTACACTACGGATACAGATATAGCGTGATTATATTACTCTTATTAGTCTTAAGACTTAGAAAAAGTCGTGGCTTCTCGATGCTATCTCGAGTGATGACAGAGAATGCGGCACAGGGAGGCGATCCGGCTTTATGGATTTCTTTTCTTTTTTCTTCACACACATGGCAAGATTTCCGCTTTAAGCCGGCGTTTATTCACGCGCGATGATCGGTTTGCGACTGACAGCGGTATTATGAAATCACGCGACGTCTTCATGCACGCGCGTAAATACATCGGCGCTCGTAAATGTGAAGCTATAAAAGTCTCGTTAGCGACGGCGGCGGGCCAGATGAGAAGAAAGAGTCGATTAGCTTTTTATGACCCGTTGATGAGATTCGAATATTTTTTTTTTTTGTTTCGCTCGCACGTTTTACAACTTCTCGTGTGGAATCGATATTGTTTAAGATTTTATGGATAAAATTGAATCGAGACAGAGAAAGCAGCGGTCAGCTTTTGTCATCGACTAACACAAACATTCGGAATCCATTTTTATTTAGTATGAAAGAACAGCATGGGCTGCGATATATACGATTTCATGGACTTTCGAAAGTGACAATCACATTAAGACCGACGGCACTGATGCGACGAACTTTCTTAAACGTGCGGGTAAATTAGAAGCCCAAACGTCGACGTGCGAATTAAAATACAAATAGAAACAAGTGCAGGACGTTTCATATGTATCTACAATATACGTATACTTAACATATACCGGGATCCTTATATCAATTTTGATTCATTTACATGGCGCTCGCGTTCGCAACGCGACGCTTCCTAAGCTAACAATCGTATCAATATAATTTGTTCATGCGACGCAAACATGTAATATCTTGCTTTTCTTATGCACGGCGACGTACATATGTTTATATTTTTGCACATTCGACTTACTCCAATCGAGTCGAAGCCCATAACTAAAGAAGATCCATTTAACCCTTTCACATTTGATTTTTTTTGAGAGGAGAAAGTCTATGCTTAATATATGATTATTTTTATAAACTTTTGAGCTTACTAAATACAATAAAGATATAATCAAAAATTAAAGGATGCAATAACAAAGTGTAAAAAATAAAATATATTCAAATTTCATAAAAGTTTGAAAGTTATTTTCACGGTCACAAAACATACATTCAATTGATAAACAAAATAAAAATTAAGTTTATAAAATAAAAAAAGGTTTATAAAATCAAATAACAAATTGAATTAGGTTAATAATAAGGCCCAGAAGTTTTCGGGTCAATCTATTATCATACAAATTATTACCAACAGGACCGTTATAAACCTCTATCATTGAAATACAAGAAATTCTAGAATGTCAACATAAATATTATCAGAAATTTATATTATTGGAATCTATATGTATATTATTATCTCAGTTCAAATAATCTTTAGGCAAAGATAACGCTCTGCGCACCTTTCATGATTAATCCGAGAACTTCCGAATTTTCAAATCTTTTGCGTACTACGCAAATAACTTCATATATTTTTATATTTTCTCTATATATTCTATATATTCTTTATATTTTTTAAGTTCCCGCTTTTAATTCCGTATCTCAGTTTTATAAAAAATTAATTGAAGAATCGAAGATTATGAATGAAGTGACTTATTTATATTATATTCTTTTCAAATTTCATATAAATATAATTGTATTTATAATATTCTTTTAGTAAAGCTTACGGATTTTTTTTTAATAAGTTCTGTTTGATAATTATGACTGAATGTCTACAAGAGATTTTTTAAATATTTTAGGATATATCTATACATCTTACTGGACGTGAAAGGGTTAAAGTATCATAGAAATGTTATTAGCAAAACATTCATCAAAAATCTAATAAATATGCATCAAGAAATGTTACAAAACATTTGTTTGTTAAAGTAGGCTTCGATTGTGATATTATATTACAGATCTGAAATTTAGTTGTATTATATTACATTTCGAACCGATTTCGTTGTCGACGCTTATTGTTTCCACTTGCCACTCGTATCTTAATAATAAACCGCTGGACACGTGTAAACAATGTGCATGACATTTCAGCTCAGGAGCGTTTGTATTATAAGAAATGGAATTGTAATCTCCCAAGCAATATTAAGTAGCTAAAAAATTATTTTTAAATTTAGGTTAATAATTGAAAATCTTTTTGTTTAAATAAAACCTTTAAAAATATTATTATAAAATATATTTTTTGCAAATATAATAATAACAATATATATAAAACATTAGAAGGTAATGGCAAACCACCGAGATTATCTCTGCTAAGAGAATCTCTTTTAAATAGACCGTTCGGAACCATCATTAAAATTGGAGGTCCCATAATGTCCCATATACAGAATGAGACATCTAACTTGCACATCTCAAAAAATTTCTAAATTATAAGTTATATGAAAAATTGGTATATACACAAAAATTGCATGACTTCGAGGAGATCATTACAAAGTGTATAAATTTTTTTTTATAAATAGAGGCATTTAAAAAATTTCAAAGTCAATTTTATTTTTTTTAAATAAATACTTTTTTAAAAATAATACATAGTTGCATATTGCAAATTATATAATTTTTTTGAAAAGCAATTATGTGTTTTTTACACCAATTAATTTATCTTATTATTCTGTAAAAGTAATCAAAATATTAAGATATATTTATCAATAAATTAGTAATTTATGAGATATTTTATGTCAAAATAGAATAAAGTATAAATTATTTCGTAAACTATTGATTCTTCGATAGTTTTACATACTTTTATATGCAGGATAAATGTCGAAATTATATTATGTAAAAAAAATCATATAATTCAATTTAAAAAAACAAAGTTGACTTTGAAGTTTTTTTTAAAAGTTTCTACGTATAAAAAAAATTTGTACACTATGTAATAACCCCCTCGAAGTCATGCAACTTTTATATATAATAATTTGTCGTACAACTTATACTTTATAAGTTTTTTGAGGTGTGAAGTTAGCTGCCTCACTCTGTATGTATCTTTGCCGATGTATGCAGGAGAGGTCACCACGTCTCTAACAAGAGACTACGGACTAGAGAAAGATATGTGTATTATTATTAATAATATTATTAACAAAAAGATTTAATTATTAATCGGTTCGCTGTTAAGAGGCGAGTGACAAAAAAGGAAATAGTAAACGTTGACAACGAAATCGACTCGAAATGCAACTAAATTAATCTGTTATACACTATAAGATTTTACACGCCAGAATTCACGTTAAAAAAACCGATTCTTCTTCGAACTATCACGTTGAAAACTCGGTGATCTTCAGATGTATCCTCTTGATTCTTCTTGATTGTCCTTAAAGATAATTAACACGTTGCTACTTGTATCTCTCTCAACGCAGACACGTCATCGAGTATAAACTATACAGGAATCTTCAACACGCGAGAAAGTGTGTTGCTCATTTATTATCCAACGCAAGATGTTGCTGATCCTTCTTTCGAGTGACCAGTTCTCGTTAAACTTACGTAGCGTATTTACACAAACGGTTTTTTGTCCGTTCGAGTTCACGTGTTACTGTTATCGTGAACGTGCACGTGTGCATGCGTGGAATTGGCGAGGGGTGAATGCGGTAGATGTGGGGGCGACGAGGGTAGTTCGATGAGAGTGACGTCGTATCCGGCGGGAGAATCACCCGGATCGCCGGGATCACTCGGCGAGCCCGGATTGTTCGGGTTGCGTTCGCTGCCCGGATCCGGATTCATCCGCGAGTGACTCACCTCCAGCAGGAACAGGTCCTCGTCGACGTAATATCGGATCATGTCGTCGTCAATTTTCGCTGTAATTCTGCAACAGGATAGAGTGACATTCTCGTTAAATCTTCTCGGCGCGACTCGTGAGCGAAAGCGGCGGATTTCGTTCCGGAGAATCGTTCGAGTTGGCATGCAACGCGATAATTCGGCCATATATAATATTGTGATACTTGATGAACGAACTGTGCCATACAATTTTTACCGTGCACGATTAACAAAATGATGATATAATATCGATTAGTGTCAAAATTTTACGGTTAAAAAAATATAATAAGATTTATGCGAGAAATTTCGTATTGCGATGAATATTACTCTTTCCATAACATTTAATATTGTTAAAATACTTGTTTTCCTCTAATATAATTTCGCGATATTAAAATGAGTTTGAAAAAGAAAAATCTTTGGGAAATTATTGTTTAGACTATTGTATTGTCATCGAATCACAGTATTATAACGGCAAAACGATGTCTGTTTTGCGACGAATCTTCAAGATCTCGTAGTCAAAGTGAAAAAAGTGGATCGTAAAGTTCGCGCCACATTGTGCGTAGCTTGAGAGAAAAAGAGAGAGAGAGAGAGAGTGCAAGATAGGGTTTGCTTGAATAACACTGAGCTGTATATAATAATAATAATAACTTATAATAATAATAATAACTTATATGTCGAATAACGAAGAATATCTGTTCAAGGGAAAGATTTCTGCAGAAATACGCAGTGCGTAACCAACGTATGTTGAAAAATATACCCGCAGAATAAATAATCAGTTGAACGAGACGCATGACGATATTAGACGAGGCAAGCAAGGCGTGCATGAGTGCGCTCGTGACGGAAGGCAGAAGACGAGAAGCGTGAAGGATTAGTGGATTAATCAGGCGTGATTGTGCGTAGCGGTAGCGAGATGTAGTCAGCGTGCAGCGACATTCGCGTTAAGGTGATCGACAAAGAGAGGACATTTTTAACGAGAGAGTACACGAGAATGGTGTATACATTTAAATACATATGTCGCAGAGAAACGCGTGTCCGACATTTGAAAGAGGCACGATCATAGGCGAGAGGGAGAGCGAAAGAAAGAGGCAAAGAATGAGAGAGAGAGAGAGACAGAGAAATAGAGAAAGAAAATGAGAGACTACCAAACCAGGCGGAGAGAGTCAGGCAATGTCACCGTTATGGCATGCATCGCGTGGGCGTGCATGCAAGTAAAGATGACACTCTACTAAACTTACCCCTTTGTGTTTTTGCGATAGAGGTTATTAATACTCGAGGATGCAATTTTGTACTTTGACTCAATCTGCAAAATAGAAAAAAGTAGAACATTAGAATTTTGATAGTGGCTTGCGGACCGTCGTTTCGTTTCGCGCACGCGCTCGAGAAAGTGCCCGCGAGACGCGCGTAGGTAGACGCAATATTACCGCGAGAACGACAGCAAAGAGAGAAAGACAGAAGGATAGAGCGAGAGTAAAGTAGACAAGACAGATCGAAACGGAAAGATATAAATGATGAAGAGATATATCGCGCGTCGCAAGAACGCGGAGGCAGTTTAGGATCGTTTAGAGGCGCGGGTCGAGATAGAAATACGTACAGATCACGCGTGTATCAATTATAAGATCCGTTCGTTCGCGGAGCGCGTAGAAACGCGATGAGAGAAGAGAAATTGTTTGATAAAAGAGAAAGAAAGGGTGTCTATCTTATTCCACTTTTTTCCTCCGCCAATTCTGATCGGTGTAACGCGCTCTTATGTCAACGTCCGGTAAGATCGTTAAGAGCCGCCGACAGTCTCGCACATCCGCGAAGGAGGGAGGGGTAAAACATGATCGTACGTCTTGCACTATCGATATTGTATTAATGAGGATCTTGGACACAGTGGACAGTGATGCATGCGCATTAATATTAATTAGCGAGTGGACCAGTGCAAACGGGTATTAATAATGGCGCAGTATGCTTTCACATGCATGAGTAATATATATAGTCTCTCGTGGGACTTGTATATGGCACGTAAATATATATATATATATATATATATATAAATATATGTATATATGCGTGTATAATTTCCGCGCGCATCGAATCGTACGAAACCAAATTGGTATCAATTGAAATCGAAACAGACATTAGCTACCTTCCGGCGTGTGACTTTATTGAGCCTGGAAGTGTTTACCGGGGCTACGTTACAGGAAGCATATCTCGATGGTAGCGATAGTACGTTGCATTATTATTGTCGCTTCTCGTTCTGTTTTCTAGAGCAAGCCTCGCCGGCAAACGTAATCGCGGATTAACCCATTAACGCCCACGGTGCGCATATTCGACGCTGCGCGATGTGCTTTGCATAAAACACATCACTGCTACCGTATGGTATAGTTATACCGGTATCGGTCGCGGTATGGAAATGGTGAGAATTTCCATTTCTCGTTTCCATTTCTACGAGGCATACGAACGAGCTTGTTAGAGACATTATTTTATCTACTTTATTACCGAATGACAAGTATTAATATTCAGTTAATACAAAATTCGCGAAGGCATATTTCCTTTCGATTACACATATTCAATTTATATATCAATGATATGTATCCTCTGCTTCAAGATTAACGTTACACGCACGTCGTACGATTCAAAGTAAAGATCAATAATTTTCTTTATACTGCGGACGTTAAAAGTTCACGACGCAGAATGGTGCCTATGTACCAGCTCTCTACAACTTCCGCTATATTTTCTCTCGAAAATATCTCCGAGAACGATGCAGTTGCAAGCGGATCGTGCGAATCGTGTATTTTCGTAGCTGCAAAAGTCTCTCTGAGATCTCTCTCTACGTGCGCGAAGGCATGAAAATGTTTGCTGTGAGATGTTGATGTGTGTGTGTGTGGGTGGTATAGAAGAAAAGAGTCTTAGAATATTTCTTACAGCGTTGAGCAGCCCCTGTACCGTTGGCGGCGTGACGTGCAGTGGCGTGTAGACGTCTTCCGATTCTTGACGCACGTAAAGCATGACGCGTTCCTCGGAGTCCGCCGGGCGTAGATGCGGCGGCTGCTGTTGCAGGTGCAGCCGATTGCCGACGCTGGACACCACCGCGCCCGTCAGGCCGGTCTGTTGCACCCCCTGCAGCACCGAGCCCTGCAGCTCCTGCACCTGCATCAGCAACGAGTCCTTCTTGTCGTGTAGACTACTGAGATTGTCGGGCGGAAAGTGGTTGTGGAACTTGAGGGCCGGCAGACTCGGCCGGACGATTGGGGGCGGATAAGGACTGCTCCCCCCCGCCTTCAATCCTCCACTTTCACCATTACTGAGGGATGATGTGTCGGTGTCACCCCCGCCCCCGCCGCCACCACCGTAGAAGCCCGACAACTCCATCGTCGAGAACTGTCGTGAAAGAGAGAAGAACAAGGTTTATTTTCACTCTACGTTTTTTTTCTTTTCTTCGCGAGACGACAAGGCTCCTTCGAATTTTACATTAGAAGACGAGGAGTAATTTTGAGGCGACATTCTTTTCTTAATATGTAATATTAAAGAAATTGACGAACTTGCGAAATAGCGAACAAATTGAAAGTCAGCGGCGGCAAGATATAAACTTCTCAGTTTTGATAATAAAAATAATAATACTAATACACATTGCTTAGTTATAATATACTTACACGCAAAAAAAACTAGCCACTGTAACATTATAATAGCCCGTTTTTTTGCGTGTAAGTATATAATAACATCAATTATAATGACAACTCACATATTTATTGCGATAGAGCTAAAAACATAAAAGTATAAAATACTAAAAGATTATTATTCTGGTTCGTTGAACTAAACTGGTGTAAAATTCGAAAGGCTGCATGACTTTAAGAAAATTCACGTCGTTACTTTGCGATGCAAGAGTTGCGGTTAGTGCAGGGTTTCGGCGGGGGTGAGAGCAGAGGATTGCGAATGCCATACGATTTTTCTAAGTTCGCTTTTGTGTCAATTAATTAATTAAGATACATGCTAAGACATAGAATATTTAATCAAAGGCAAATTGTTAATAAACATAGGCGTCTTGTCGTGAGTTTTGTTCTCTTTAGAGCACAAATTAATTAATGTAGCATATTAAAAAAAAATTATCTCTCTTATTTATAATTTATTGTATTTTCGTAATGAGACAATCTCTTTTATAGAATTATTAAACTTAATACCGTAATAAAACATTTCGCGAGATCTATGTTTCTGTAGAACAGAAAGAACAGAAACTAGTCCTTACAGACGACACTATTATTTGTGTTTGAGTAACATACTTGAAAAAAGATGGGTGTGTGTGATTACCTTATCGATAGCATGCTCGGCCGGTGGGGAGAACAGCACAGGCGGTTTGTGCAGATCGACCATGGAGTAAAATTCGCTGCGCTCCGTGACGGGGTGATAAAGCTCGTCGAGCTTTTTTCTGCCGGTCGCCGTCATCTTCCTCTTAGCTGCACGTCTCTCTTCGTCTCGGGTCTTTCTCTCTGCTCCCTACGATAAGCAACGTCATCTCTCAACTTAATTTCAACGATCACATTGCGACCAGGAAGCGATCGCGCGTTATTTACATCGCAAATGAAGAGAAAGAGAGAGAGAGAGAGAGAGAGAGAGGGAGGGGGGGAGGGGAGATAAACATATGGAAATGTACAAGAGTGGTTACCTTATCGCAGAAGACCTTAATTTGACAGTAGCCGCGATGAGAAGGCGGCGTGTATGAATGCGCATGGGGCGGCGGTTCTTCATATGTGTCGACCTGGATATGCAGCGGCAAACCCTTCACGCCTTTCTGACTCGAGAAATCGGTACTGAGACATTGCACCGCCACGTTTATCTGCGGATCAGAAATCGGACAGGTAGCAGCGGCGGAATTGCTTTATTAACGTTTCCGTTAAATGACCATGCAATCGAAATGGGCGCGAGCGGTACGATATTTGCTCGTAGCGCAAGATTGCGAAACGATAAATGATATATATATATGTATATATATATATAAAGAGGGAAAGAGGGCTTGGGGTACATGCATGTCGTTAAGGAGGTAACGTGAATCGACATTTCCGGCGTTCCTTACCTTCGCCGACGCTTCGAGTGGGTTCCAGTAAACGGCAATCGCATTGTGCGCGACTTCCTCTATGCAACCCACCAAGCCAACGCTATTCTTTGTGTCTGTGAACAACGGACGTGACTCTGAAACTCGCGGATCATGTAGGGGAATATGAAGTAGCTAGCGCTGTTCTCGAGACGCTTTTAGATAGAATATGAAAATAACGGAGCATACCTCCGCGATCAAAATCTTACCACTTGTCCATTATGGTTTAGGTAGCTTGCGCAAAAATACAAAAGATTTAGAGATTTAATCAATTATGAATCTCGAGAACTTGTTAAAGAAACTATTATCATTATCGAGGGCTATTATATCATTTTATACTCATTTTTTTATTTATCTATAAATTGTTTAATATCATTCAACCCTATTATTATATTCTATATATTGTTTATATTTATATCATTTTATTTATACATCACTGTACCAGCATCAAGAATCCGTTGTTTGACAGAATGCTGTCTGCCATGCCAAAACTGCCAAGATTTGATTTCGTCTTCCGGACTCTTCTCCTCTCGGAACATCAACATTACTACGCTCTATAAATAATTGTAGAACATATATAAATATTATTAATCATAAGATAGATCAGCTTATTATGCTTATGTATCTGTACGTTATTCCTAGCGGCGAGATAGAAGCGAGGCAAACACATGCGTGAAAGACGCGCGCATGTAAAATATGTTTCACGATGCGTTTCAAGATTCTTTATATTTTATAATCATCGTTTGAGATTCCGCGTCCTTTATTATCAACCTGGCATGTGTGAAGTAGCATAAATAAATGTCTTGTGTCTATACAAAGTTAACTTTCGGGTTTCACGTTTCACTCGGATCGGCGATACGCGGGGACGTACATCGGCCGCGACAGACGCACGCTCGAGCGGGCACACGCGGGCGTGAGCGTTTCGCCGCGAGCGGCGAACCGAGCGCCGAGACGGAGGAAGGATTTTTCGTGATTCGGGTGAATGGGCGAAGAACTGCGCTCTCCGACGTACCGGAGGAAATATGGGCGCGCGCGCGCGCTCGCGATCGGGAAGGAAAGAGAGGCCCGTGAATAAGAGGCTCGCGTTACGCGGTTACACTTACTTACGATCTCCCTTGAGGCTTGCGCCGCGAGAGACGCGGATATACCGTTCGAATCGCCACACGCCTCGCTCTCGACGCTCGATTAGCAATTAACGAGGAAGCCGTAACTCGTCGCGGCGCGCACGACGGAAAAAGAATCCGCCACCTTTATCAGAATGGAAATTGCTAACGGTGCGTGCGCAACCGCGGCTGCCAATTAGAGCCGTGAAAACAAACGACCCCGTCTGACTTCTTCTTTCGACATGCCGCGCGCACCGCCGATCATCTTCGCGAATTTTGCTGTTCCAGTTATGCGAATTGAACAATACCGTGTACACAAAATCTTTGCGTTACATTTCGACATGGATAATTGTATCGTAACTAGACTTGGACGATATCTCATATTAGTCTCTTGTTATTGAAGCGCGAAGTCAATTTGGAAATGGAGAAAAATATACAAATAGAAACATTATATATTTTCTTCAGAGAGAATATTTGTCTTGTCATACAAAATTGTTTGCTCGTGGATTTAAGGCTATTAAATTTGCCCTACTTCGGATAGTTATTTATGTAAAATACATTGTTGGACTCGTACGTCTTTGGAACGTAAACGTCTCTATCCTCGAAACTACACATCTACCTACACACATCATTCTACAAATGCCGTTATGCAAACAGTGTAATTATCCTTTTTGCTCTTACCTTGACTGTCTGCCCTGCCTTGAGGAGTGGCTTGTCCGGATCGGACACATATTCCAACGTGATTCCGTAGAATTGGCCCTTGTTGATGTACGTTATTCTGTCGTCCTCGCGGCGCTGCGACGTGCTGATCGGCGACTCCAGGTGGTACTTGAATCCGTAATTCGAGAAACTGAAGGGCAGACAAATAAGATTCCCCAAATGAAAAACGTGAATACACATAGCTACGACGTATGCGTGCGCGTAAGAAAAAAAAGCGCATATTTAAGAAGCAATTTCCCTGGTCATTATGCAGCTGGTCGTTTCACACTCGGTCAAGATTGAATCGCGTTTACTTAATAGACGGTTAGGAGCTCGCAAACGAATACTCAATTAGCTGATTAATGCGCGATGCGATATGAGTTATTATCGTGTCATTATCGGCTAATTCTCCGCCAATGTATTCCTACTATACTTCGTCGCCAAGACAAACATATATACCTGACGCCGCGTCGCGCGGAAAACAACCGATGCGTGCGCGAGGCAGCCAAGATCGCGCAAAATCTTTAACTAATTAGAACGTTCGTCATCGCACGGGAAAAAAAGCGATCGTGATCGGGTATGAATATTCCAATCGTTAATTACGACAGAACGGAGATAACGAAGGGCTCGAATACTCGGAGCCTGGGAAGCTGGCAACCCGGGGTTCCGCGCGAATGGGAAAAAGAAAGACGTCGACAGACACGCATCAACCTATGCTGGGGGGAGAAAACCCGCGACTTCTAATCGAGCTTATCTTCCGCGTCGGTCGCGGCTAAGGCAGGTAGGCGGGCGGCCGATAACTTATGAAAAATGAACGCCCATAACGCCGGAGAGATCGGGGAGGAGAGACCACGATGTAAAACGCGAGACGACAAAACGACGCGCACGATCGAAGGAAGGTGGACGCGATCGGGAAAACGGGAGCAAAATGATCGGTCGCCGCGATCGTGGAAAATCTGTAATCGCTAAAGCCGCCAACTTCTCGTCTCTAACCCGATTTGTCGATACCGGTCTCCATCGATCTATCGTCCGGCGAGCTTTCCGAATGTATATTATTATCGTGTCCTCGCGAGAGCGCCCTATTGTCTTCGAAGCGCACGCACGCTTTCGTATTCGCGGCGCAATCCTTCCGTCCTTTTTTCCCCTTTGTCTCTCCGTTCTTCTCTCCTTTTTTTCTCATTGGGGAACCGAGGGGACGAACCAAGGGGGCAGCGTGCGTGGCGAGCGAGGCGATAACTGACCGTGGCGGGTGAACGCCCTCCTCTGCGCCTTTGCTGCTCGCTACCGTTGCACAGCCGCCGCCTACCCGATGTGTATACCTTGTTACAACTCCCTGTGTGGGTTACGCATGACTACCGAGTCTTTCTCTCGCTCTCGAATCTGTCCGTCTGACCTTCTCGCTTCCGTTCGCGAAAAAAGAATCCCCGGTTCGTAGTAGGAAAGAGAGAGGGTAACCCCTCTTGACATTTCGATTTCACGCTGCGAGTGGTCGGCGGGCTGCGCGATTTTTCAGACCCGGACCCGGCGCGACCCCGAGGCGCTTGTCCGCTCCTCCGGAGTCGGACTCCGGAGATCTGGCTGCGACTTAATAACTTTAACATCATTGTTCATCCCGCGTCGGTGAGTATTCGGAGAGATGGAGCGAGAAATATTCAGCGCGCGTCACTGATCGTATATACTGTCGGCTCTAACAATGGAAGGCAACAAATTACAAAAGACGGATGAAGCGAAACGGGAAGTAGAAAGATCGCTAGGAAGGATGGATACGGGAGAAGGAGAAGACCGAGTGAGTCGGCAAGCGGATGTGATGAACCGCGAAGGAAATGAAGGGTACGCGAAGAGTAAGAGGTGCAGGAAGTTCTTCTTCTGGCGGGTGACTAGTGGAGATATTAGTTTCCCGTGAAACAGAAATGACATTTACAACTCTGTTTTTAGAGGCGCCATTATTCTCAGTCATAGGGGAAATTTTAAATTAAGCATCAGCGCACAAGCGAAAATATTACACAGCTGTATACAAGTATTTCAAACTTCATCTTTCTCATTAGATGCAACGATTATGCGCCTTAATGCGCAACGGAAGTTATAAATGATTAATTAAGTTATGAATTAACAATATGATAATATTTCTATTAATTACAATCGTATGTATTAATCGATTCTTGGGGCCATTAATGTTTTTTGTACAAACATTTGTATCCGCAAGATAAAGGCCGAATATAAATTTCAGAGATTGAATAACGAATCACGAAATTTTTTCCTTCGTCCATAATCACGAGGCGCTTTCTTTGTTGCTTGGCAATTGCTTGCCCTGGGCAGCACAAGTTATTAACTTTTATCGTTGCTCTTCCGTGCCTTTCATGCAATAAGATAGATTAATAGATAAATATCTATCAATCTCGATATCCGTCTACGTATTTATCTATCCATCCAATCGAGCAAATTGAGCATTCGTCTTTGCACATCGTTATTATAATCTCCACATCTGCACATTTATTATAATTTCTTATACTACCATGCAATCTCTAATCGGACAAATCATGTCGAGATATAATTCTATTTCACGACGTTTCCTTTGTTCTCAATCTAATAAGCGTAATTAATTTTAATCAAAAAAATTATTAAAATGAAGAGATGCTTCTCAAACATCTCTTCAGATCAACACTTGTGTTGGATATCATGTTAAATGTTTTTAAATAGAACACAAGAAAAGAGAAATTTAAAAATTATATGTCTCTATCATTGATTTATCGACTGTAGCTTTTTTTAATAGTAGAGCCTACTTACAGTTTCGGTATCTGAATCTTATCAGCGTCGTTTTGTCTGCCGAAATCGTGCCAAGGCCGCGATCTCTGTGGATTCGGATTCGGATTCGGATTTGTCGCACCCGCGGGCACTAGGTTGTTGCGTTGCACCTGCGCCTGTGCGTGGTTCTGTTGCAGCTGCAGTTGCAGGGGTTGGTGTATCACCGCGCCACTCTCGAGAACCACCGCCGTTCCGGCTGTTGTTCCGCCAGGACATAATTCCGTGTAATCGAATGAGGACTAGAAAAAAAATGTTATTTATTAAACAAAACATAAAAACCTCAATATGTGATAACATTTAATACAGAGAAATCCTGCATTTAATCAATTTAGATTAATAACCTCTATTTAAGGACTAGGAATTTTTCTATTCTTTTTTAATTTTACTGAACTCGCGCGAAAATCCGCCGTAAATTACATGAATGTGGATATGTATAAAAATATTAAAACTATAATAATTTACTATAAATCACACAATATATTGAATACTTCAATACATTGAAGTCAATGATTCAAATAATAAATAATAATGAAAAATTTAATCTATTGTGATATTGTTTCTCGTGAGAAAAACTAATATCATAATTTATTTACAATTTTTTTCGTAGGAAGAAACAGAAGGGATGTAATGATAGTATCGTAATATTGATAGAAGAAATAAAGTGTGTGAGGATAGTGGCTCTTTCCGGTTATGTTCTCGTAGATAAAACGCGTTCGCATGTACAAGCGTACTTAATCTCGCTAATTTAAATGTTCGCTGATTACGATGTAATTAGTATTTAAAAACCTAGTAAGGACGTAATTATTTACCGACATCATTCGTTTCGTGTATCAGTCTTATCGCGATTCGATATCTGTACACGTTCGCGTCTTATTTTGCATATCAATGCATTTCATTAGATTTTTCCGTAGCTCAAATATTCCCCCGATAAATTTCAAACTGCGTCGATTAAAGGGATCACTGGACCGATTCCTTGATTAACCGCGCGTAAACACGCGATTTCACGTGGTTATTCCGATGCGCGTCCACCTTGGGATCTCTCTTCTCCTCGTTGATTACACAAATCACCGTAAACAAATCTCGATATATCAACGCAAATGAACCGCAACGAAAAAAACAGTGGCCTTTTCTCATTTATCATTTATCATATGCGCTCTCGTGCATTTTCGATCGTGCACTGCGCATCCGCTGCGTACTGCGCATACTGCCGCCGAAGATAGCGCGAACGGAGAAAGAATAGAGAGAGGAGCTTTGTGGTCTCGTAAAATCAACCGCACAATCCGCACACCCGCTTCCTACCGTGCCTGTTAATAAGCGGCTTGCCAAACGACCTATTCCCTCATACGTCTTCATGCGATTGCGCGTCGCCTGTAGTTATTTTTCAATGCAACGCGGTTACCGCAGCTCGTTACCTCAACTCTCTGTCATCCCGAAAAAAAAGTCACGGCAGCTTCTTTCTTGCTAAATTCTCTAACCGCTGAATCTACCGCACGTCGGCACGAAGCTATTCGTCGTTTCGGAATTTTTTGAATGCTTTATGCATTATAAATGCATGAGATGTAATAAGCATGAAAGTCGCATATCTTCTTCCAGCAGCAGTTTCCGACATTTGAAGGCGATGTCTCGTTAACAAAAATTTTATCGCGTGTCATATATTTTTCTATTAACATTAAATGTTTTCGTGATTACCTCTTGAAATACAATATACTGAAATTCTTGAATTTTTCATAATGCCACAAAAATTTGAATTTTTCAAAATTAATGTTTTATCTACATATTATAGTACACGTGCATGTGACAGGATTTGATAGATCGTCATTTTTACAATTTTATCATGTTGGCGTGTTAAACAAATTGCATGCGCAAACACGCGCAATTTACCGATGGTTTATTTACTTATCGTGTTCCATCAGTCGAGGTACACGACTGTTCTAATTGAGACGTCAGTGGCGGTAATCGAATCAACGTGAGAAACCTGAGCCGCGGTGTATCGCTGACGCGAATGCGAAAACTGTCGTGTACCGTCGCGGTTATAAATATTTAATATCTAAACACGCTGAAAATATCTCATGCCAAGTGACAGCCGGCTAAAAATTCGCGGGTCTGGTTAGGAATACGATACGATTTGCACGCGATATCGGAGGCGATATCCGCGAGGTGTGCTAAAATAAGACATCACTCCGCTCGCCGAAGTTTACGATTGGTTTAACGAGATTTTTTTCTCGCCGTCTCGCGCGGCTCGCAAGTCATCGAATTCATTAAACGGACATATCGTTCGCGTCGTGCGGTCATAATTGGCGTGTTACGTTATCTCGGCGCGATTTAGAGCGTTACCGCTCCTCAAATATTAAGGAAACCGTCTCGGCGGAAGGCGCATTAGTCGTGAGATAAAACGAGCGCGCGCAGACGGGAAAATTTAATGCGTTACCCACTTTGATATCCAACGTTTTAATTGCGCCCATAACACAAACGTGCCGATCAGGCCAAGCGGATCGATTTTCAGTAGCAATCACATCCGATACCTAATCCGCCCGACCCGAGGCTCCGGAGTTTTATTCCAACGTCTGTCGTGCACAAGCGGAGCAGAACGCGAACGCGTGCTTTCTAATTCGTAATGTCGACTAGCAATGCTAATGACTTACTCTCGCGTGTGTAACGCGCGCGATTAATGCTTCCGGAAGCGGACCAGATATGCAACAGCTGTACGTGAGAATGACGAATTGTCCATGTCAAGAACTGCCGATATAAATGAAGCGATACAATCGACTATTACCGCTTAATTGAGCGAGATTTTGCATAGAAAGAATTCAATAACTAACATGAAACTGATAAGTCTAAGAGAGACTTCCAAAGTACGTTCTCGTGAAAACGCGATATAGGATTACTCGCTATTGAAATTAATATTCGTTTCCCTAAGAAATGTGCCGGGCAATTATGTAAACTTATAATTTTATTCTAATATATAGGTACACATCTTACCGTAATGGACTTCGCGACTATTGCGATCCTATTTATTGATCTTTAAACGAGGGTCTGATAAGGGGGTCGCTTCAGCAAAACACGTCTATTACGAAAAATCTTTGCAGGCATTAAGTTTTAACAACCGGAGAAACGGGTTAGGTTTTTTTATGCAGTTACGTTTTGCGGTTTACCGTAATCTAAGATACCATAATCGCTCCTTTAACGTATTATGCGTCGCGATGTATAGTATTAGCGTTCTCCGAATTTATCACGTCGACTGTAACTGTACGTGACGTTAAGATGGAAAAATTCACCTCGACAAATCGCTTCGAGAGCGGCGATCGTACATACAGATTCGATTCGTCGGTATTTAGAACGTTTTACGCCGTTAATACCGCGCCTCGGCGCGCATTGCAGGAGACACGGGGAATTAATCGCGTGAGAGAGCCCGGCTCTCTCGCGCCGGTGAGGTGTGAGGTGCGTCGTCGTGGGCGAAAGCACTTACTTGACAAATCGCATTGAAAACGATAGCATAGCGCGGCGATACCGACACGCATCCGCGATATCTGCGTGCGAATATGCTCGCAATAGGATAACGGTTAATACCGCATATATTAATGTACTGAAGAGAGTGTCCTTTGAGCGGGGCGAGCCGGCCGTGCGTTAACGAACGATGTTTACGATATCGCGCCGCCGAGATTAATTGCATCGCGATCGCTTATGGCGCCGTGGGCGAAGTCGTTTGTACGCGGCCGATCGAATTGAAAACGATAGCGCGGGAGCGGCCGCGGATGATGCCGTCGTTTCCCATCGCGCCGCCTCTACGGTCTTGATTGAGCTACGGTTATTCCACATCGTGTTCGGGCACGGCGATCGTTTCTGCCTCGGCCACACGGCTCCGGAGCATTTTTCTCGAACAATTAATGACGCTGCCGGCATGCTATCCGCGTAATTCAGTAGCGAGAATCTCCGCATAGTAAACGTTTCTTCATATATCTCCCCGCGATCTTTCCTGCAACCCGTTAACTTCGATCGCCGCTGACGAGACAGCCCCGTTCCGGTCGCGTTTGCTCTCGCTAACGTCGCCTGCTGATTGCAATTTATATAGACGTAAGCCGTTTACGATCGTCCCTGTCGGCTAACTCCTGTGACATCATATTACGCGTCTGGGCTGTATTAATATTACGTGGCAGGACAGTATGTTACAACAAGCTTCGTTTTATTTCATTTTAGTGCTCTCTACGTTTAGAGCTCTCTACCTTTGCATTAGCTGATATTATGGAGGTATCAACGAATTTCTTCCGCGGGATTTCTTGTCTAACATTATACTTATCTCACTGTTTTATCGTGGCAACTTTCGCCGTGGACTTATATTATCATCCGCGACTTTAATGATCGTACTCGAAACACCGTATCAGAAACCCGAGAGATCTTTATTCGCTCCGTAAACGCATCCGCGCCTACCTAAGCTCGAGAATCTTTACGCTCACGACGTACTGCAGAAGAGAACCGCTTTTAAAACTGGACGCATCACGCATAAAAACGTATCGAACGATCGGGGCAATGAAATTAATTGTGCTCGAATGGCTCACCTGATGAAGAGCTGTGGTCGGATGATGGTCCTGCCTGGGCGTCACCGCGTCGGCGCCTATGCCAGAGTCGGGGCTGGGAAGATCAACGGTCAGGACTTTGCTGCTGCTCGACGACGAGCGTATCGCGTGTGTCGTAACGTATGAGCTCGGCGCAACCTCGTACCTCGTGTACGAAGCGGTCGTGGTGGATAGCGAGGAAGTGGAGCTCGACGAGGCGAGCGGCGGCAGTGCGTCGCCGGCGACGTACACCGTCGTCGCCTCCTGATGAAGACCACCCGGATTCGCTGTCGCATTCCCGTTCCCAGACGCTGGCGTGGACGTATAGACGGTCGACTGCAACCTCGGGCTGCAGGACGTGTAGGGGTCGTAAGGGCTGCCGTATTGCTGCACCTGTACACCCAAGTCAATTACGGTTGACTTTCCTCCGCTTTCGAACGATTCACCGCGATCGGCGCGTCTCGAGCGAATCGCGATCCCGCGCGTTTCCATCGTCGCATTTACACATCTTCTTTTCATAGAGGGAAAAAGATCCCGCGCGAGATTATGTTGCACTCGTGAAACACGCTGCAATTGAGCAATTTCGAGATGCGCGGGAAGCAACGTTAGAAGAATTTCAACTGTTATTTTCTCAAATATTATCTTGTGGCGCGTAAATGTTGCGTTGGGCTATACGTGACACGACGTTTGGCGATGATTCGTATAGAAGTTGCAAATCTTTAGTAATCTTTAGTAATTTTACACCAAATAAATCACATAACGTTCGATTTGAGAACTGGTTACAAATTCTTTGATCACCGCATGCGATGATTGTGGGAAAACTTTGTGACAAGAAAGATTGAGAATTCTTACAGGAATATATCATTGAATTGATATTTCGGTAAACTTAAAATTTCACAAGTTGTATAAAAAGAACTTTTAAATAGTCGGAGCAAATCGAATAAACGTAAATGATCGCACTTGGCAATGATCGTCTAAAACTTACCTGCAACTGATGCTGATGATGATGATACATTCCCGGTGGTGTGGGACTATCCGCTTGTTTGTGCCGTTTGCTAGGCTGTTGGCCCCCGCGCGACGAGCTGAGGTCCTCTGGTTCCCTCTTGACCCCGACGATGCCGGCGTTCGAGGCACCGTCGTGTCGCAGGGGCTGCGGGCTCAGCGGAAGCGGAAGGCCACCCTGCAGGTTCTGGCTGGGACTGTGGGACTGCTGGTTGTACTGGAGGAAGTGGTGTAGCTCCCCCCCTCCGGCGCCTTCGCCGCCTTCCATGCGATTCGTCGAGGCGGAACCGGAGCCAGGCGCCTCCTGCACCAGCAGCTTCTGGCCCATCACACCCCTTCAACAGTCCGTGAAAAATTGACCTTCAGTTAGCTCCTTTTACCGATCACTGAGATTGGTATCGATCCGCGTCGTGCCCTAAGAACGCGTGACGAATTCGCGCTATGTATATCGAGGTCGGTACTAAGACCCATTCGCGCTGCTACCGATTGCCTTTTATGAGATCCGCCATCTGGACCACCTGGACATTTTTGACACTAGCTTTCTTTTTTTTCATGTCTAATAGAATTGAAATTTATTTAAAATTTTAATGATGACAAATATCTCTAAAAGATCTTAATTATTACAAGAATAGCTATATACATAGAATATATTTTCATTATTTCTTAATCTCGTTAAAAAATTAATGAATTACACACACACACACACACAAATAATTAAGGATATAAATAAAATTTTTTAAAGGTATAAAAAAAAGTTTCGTATTTAAAATAGCCAATTAAAAAGATAAAAAAAAATTAATGATTGTCAATTCTTATTAATATCGCGTGTGTAATATTACAGTAATATTACAGTAGTTTATACTTTCATGATTAGAAATAACTAACGTCATTTGGATTCTACGTATTGAAATGATAATTAAATTGGCATCTTAAAAGAAACACAAGAGACGGGCCGTACTTTCTTTCTGCTTTCTCCGCGCCCTGTCGACGGATGAGATCAGCGGGGAAAACCGGCGTTACACTTCCGCCGCGCGTCGCACGCTGCATCTGCCGAATTCGGCAATAAAATTTTCGATGCGCGGCGCGCGCGAAGAAATGCGATTCGCCGATCGACCGTATATACGGGAGAAGAATCGAGAGGATCGCGGTATTATGCGAAGTAGTTAACATGTTATATTTAGCATGATAATACGTATCCACAATACCGGGGACCCTTATAAACTGCCAACGCTTTTGGTGCACGCCATCTTTCCTCCTCTTTCACCCTCGTCCTATCGTCTTCTCGTCTTTTCCATCGCGAAGGATCGCCCCTTACGTCCCCGTCGGCGCGTCCTGGCAACCTCTGCCAGGTTCTCTCTTTATCTCTGTCTTCTCTTAACCCTTTTTCTCTCTAAAAAAAATACACATCCCTCTCACACTTCCATCTCACTCTATCCTTTCGCGCCATCACCGTGGTTCCTACCCTACGGTCAGATGCTTCCGTACAATGATCTTTTTTTACACTTGATACCTGATCTCTCGTCTACTTTCTCTCCTGTTTCTCTGTCCTGCTTTTGCTCGTCTGTCTCGCAATACAGCGAGAAGGGTGACGCCGAGAGAATGAGAGACTATCCCGCGTGGTGCTTCTCGGATCGCCCTCGGCACACTTGTGCCTGAAGAGAGGTGCGGATAGGCACCGAGGATCGTGGCCGAGATCGCGCGGGGAAAAGACAGGCGGGTAAACCCGGCCGCGGCGCGATCGGGCACGTTCTTTCGTCAAGCAAAGAGAATGCGCCGCCATCACCCGGGGCGATAGCGGCGAAACTCGGGCCTCATGAATTCGGCTTACGTGAAATGGATCTGCTCGCGCGCTCTCCATTCGCGCCGCCTCTCGCGAGAGCGTTTCCCGATAATGCGATGCAAATCCAAGATGCACGATGCGAAACGAGATTCGCGTGCGCGCACCTTGGGAACCCGATACGCACCCTTGGAAATTTGGGATCGCTAGGTGTGAGGTATCAGATTGCAGACCGCGTCTGTGATTGGCGTTTTAAGCTCTCGGGAACGTCAGTGTTTCTGTGCAACTGTCATCAGCATATCTTCATCCGAAATGTTGCCCTCGGGTTTGCGACAGAAGTTTTCGTTAATTAAAAAGTATCGTCATAATTTAAAGCGTTTTTTTTACACCGTGAAAATTTTTGAAAACATTGTCCTTGCATTTCTTTACACATTTACTTCGACTTCATTCAAGAAGAAATAAATATTATCCATAATTCTCAATATACTTATATATTTTAAATAAATCTTGGCACGATCTTCCGACATAGTAACGTTAAACGATGTACAAAACGGAAGATTTTTTTCGCTTTCTTCGTAGTACCTGAGGAAATAAGTATCCTCCTGAATCCTAGTGAAGAAGAGAAAAAGAAAAGCATACAAAAAGAGACAAGAGAAATTTAACATAAAATGAATGTTTCGGATCCAGCTATTTCGTAGAGCTATCTATCCGTATACCATCAATTTCAAGCGTTATTCACGTGTCTGCATTGTCAGGCGAAAAAATCGATAATGCCAGTAGAGACATTACTAATATTCAAGTAGATAATATTCGTAGGTCGAAGTATATGTTAGGTCAGAAGTCTAATAAGTCAACGTTGTTACAACTTTGTCGATAAGATATGTCTCGGAAAACAACTGAAGATATGTTATCACGACTATAAATTTAACTTCTGAAAATTGTTAACTTTGACTTAATGTGCACTTGTGCAATTTGCAATTTATGAGAATGTATACCCATCAAGTTTTTTTCCGTTATTATTATGGCATTGTTACGTCGCTGTGTAATGACTGTCGAAGACTTTACATACAATATAAATGCAATTGGAAATTTTTCTTCGGCGATTTGAAAACATAGAAATGTATAACACGAGCAAAAGAATTCTTTGGTACAAATACCAATTGACATTTGATGTAATAGTGATGCGTCATTTTGTACTGTCTAACTTGTAAAAAAAAAATTACGGTGGCTGGCATCGACTAAGCGCGTGAAATATTCGTAGAAATCCGTCGTCCAGAATGAAATAAACGCTACAAAGGGGAGAGCATTTATTGATGCCGACATCGAAATATACCGTTTTTTATCGTTTCACCTCTGCACCCGCAGGAAACGCCAGTCTTTGGCGACGAGCGGAAGAGACTAGAGAAGTTGGGGGGAGCCGCATTCTTTTTTTCCGTGCATGTGGAAAATCTCGCTGATTACACCGGTATCCGTGGCGCGTTGTCTCCCATCTTCTCTCACGAGATCAATACGCGCCGCGCACGAATTCGTGCCTCTTGCCATCCGTTCGCGCTGCAAACGAGTAAATTACCGCCGCGCGTCACGTTATACAGTCTACTGCAGCATTCCATCGTATTTTTTTTTTATTACGTCGCGTCCCGCGTGGCAGAGAGGAAGCACGCGGTGAGCGCGCAACGCGCGCGTACTTGCGCACGGATACGAGCGCAAGAGGCAATTACGTGCTTACGGTGCAGCATTATCGACGACAAGGCACTCACCCCGCGGCGCGGCGGCAGCGGCGATCCGACACGTGAACCCGCAGGTCGCCGGGGTCGCCGCAGGGTCGCGACACGCATCGCCATTTGTGCGTGCGCGAGTACGCGCGCACGAACGCGATCTTCGTCGTGCAACCTGCAGCGGCACCGCGTCTGGCTTGCGGTACCGGAGCCTGTGGACCAAGCCTCGCGGTAGATCCTGCTTCGGAACCGGAATCGGGTATTTCTCAAACCGGAAATCGGGCGTATCGCGGTATACCCGCTGCGAACGCGTGTGTGCGTATGTCATAAGCGACGGACCTGTCTGTATGTGGCACGGGACGAAACTCGAAAGACAGGTCCGACAAAGTGGCGCTCTACCGGCTGCTCGCACGCGGGTCACTCCTTTGATTATTATTGCCGGTCTGCTCTTTTTTTTTCCATCTCGCGTCTGCCGACTACTTCTCGTACTCGCTCGCGCGCGTCTACGGCTTTTTTTTTGCCGTTACGAGCGCACGCATGCACGCACGTCGGCACCTGTGCTTACAGCACGTGCCACCGCACCGTTGTCGCGGCGATGTCAACGTATGCGTGTACGTATGTTGTACTATGTACGCGATGGACGGTCGGAGAGGAAATTTAGATGCGCGCGGCGTGGCCAACGACGTCTGCCACTTCTCACGATAACCGCCGCGCGGCTTTCCTAGTGCTTCACTTCCTAGGATAATCGCGTGTTTCCTGGAACACGTTACTGCCGGTGGCTTTCGGGAATTATAAAACGTCCTTTGACCCTGATCTTAATATCGCATGATTTTATCTATGTTTTTGTAAAAGTATTCTCGTTTGTAGTATATTTCGTATAGTACTGTCTTTCACAATTTTATTATAATAAATATTTTTAGTGGAAATTATTATGAAAAATTCTCTTCTCTTAGAAAAGATTCTAATGTATAAAAAATGTTATAACATTTAATAATATAGAGTCTTATTCTAAAATTTATTTTATGAAAGCGATTTTTTAAATGAAGTCATGAATTCCAAGAGAAGCGAGGATAAAACGACGCGCTGCATTGAGCAAGATTTTCAGAATTGGATTCGTATCTCTTTTAAATCAACGACCCAATAGTTTCTTCAAGTCCGTGCGTTATCGCGACGCAAATATCTTGATGGTGATGCTCCTTCGTACCTTCGTGCCGGAGAGTACCGATGAACGTCCTATCAAATGTTGACGGTAATCTTATGCCGGGGACGTGGCGATTTTCGCTCTTGCGTAACGATTTGCGGGATTCGATGTCGAGATTGCTTGTGGATCGTAAACCGCGAAATGTCGCCGAATAATCGCATACCCGCGAAACTCGACACCGGCTTGTTACCTCCCGAGGTCGACTCCTCGACTTTCGTCTGGTTTACCGCGGTCGTCGATGTTACGGAACAGGCTACGAATTCGCCCCGGTTCTCAGACCTCTGCGTGTCCTCGAAGTCATACGCGCCTTCCTGCTTTGCTAATGAGACACTACGCGATCCGGTTTTCGGATCTGGTTCGCTCCGAGCACCGTGAATCAACCCTCTGCGAGAAACACGTCCGTTTAATGCTCCTTGACTCCGTTGCGACGATCGAGATCGTTGACAGCCGGAGTGTTGGAGTTTAAATGTTTCTCGTGACCCCGCGAAAACCAGGATTTCGCGGCTGTTCTCCCGCAAGAACGCGACATGCGGTTCCCGCGGTCGCCGAACCGACGATTCTGAGCAGAAACCAGTAAGGCGATACAAAACAGACGGCGCGCTACGGGCGTTTTCTAATCGTAAATTCGAGCTAACGAGATAA